AATAGATTTTAGTGTGTGTTTGAATTAAAAAAATCTTAACTAATATTAGAAATTAATTAAAGTTAGCAAATTAAGGTTAAGAGAAATGTTTATGATTATAACGTGATTTGTATTTAAGTACATTTTTTTTAAAAGTCAGTTAAATAAATAAAATTTGTTTGAATAATTTAATTCAAAAGTCAGTTGAAATATATAATTACAAAAATGGACATGAGTTTTGTTCTATAAATTTTTATGTCTAATATGATATTTTTAGAAAAACAAATAAACTTTAAAATTACAAGTTTTCAAAAAAAAAAAAAGAAAAGTAGATTACAAGTATAAAATATTTAGTTATGATAATTTTATGAATATCAATATATTTGTATAAGTATAACATTTTCTTCCAACCTTATTGGTCAAAAAAATACTAAAAAAATATAATTTTGGGATTCTACACTTTTTTCAAGCTTTGTTATAAATTTTTATACTTTTTTTTTATATTATAGGCCCCTTCATGAGAAGTGTTATAGAAACCCAAAACATAAACAAAAAATATATAGAGACTTAAAATAATAAAAAAAGTGTATAAATTTATAGCAAAATTTGAGTAAATATGGAGATCCAAAGTTATATTTTTCTAATAAAAAATATACTAAACTAAATTATGAATGTTGCCATTTTGTTTTTTTAAAAAAAGTGCATAAACTTATGATAAATTTTGAGTAAGTGTGGGGATTTAAAATTATATTTTTCTAAAAAAATGCTCAATCAAATTATGAATATTGCCATTTTATTTTAATTTATTATTCATATTTAGTAAATCTGATTTGTATTGGGCTTGTCAACGTATTTATTCTATTATTATGCTTCAATGTGCATCTTTTATCATTTGAAAGTTGTTTTATCTAATGAATTAATTGTAAAAAATGTAAAAATGCGTATGGCGTGTCAGAAGGGTTTGAAGGACAAAAATATTGTGGCGATAAACAGTGAAGGAGACATGTGCCAACTATTGGATAAAAGTTAAAGAATAATAGTCAAGAATGGGGTTGAAAAGCAACTTGAAAATGAAATGGAGAGGAGATAAGGTGATTGAAAGTGCAACACTAATTCCCTATGAACGCTCGTTCTCCCTAAACGCTAGTTCAATTTTTTTGCTAATTCAAACAAGATTTCATAGCTTTTAACATTTTAACTTAAATTTGAACCACTCTAACTTTAGTTGTAAGGTAATTCAAACACACCCTTAATTGTAATGTTGTATTAACTTTTTTGCATCAAGCCTATTTATCAACTCTTACAGAAAATGGTTTGGCTGCTCTTTCTCTAAAGATATCACTCACAACTCATGTATTGTCATCATGTTATCTTCTTTATGAAAGCAAAAAAAAAAAAAATAATGATAAAGTAAAAGCAATTTTTTATATTTTTCTTCTTTTTGTTTTTTCCATGTTCATCTACCTTCTGTAAAAGCATTTTTGCTGCTACCATGTTGAGCTTTTTGAGGACTTCTTTTCATGTATAAGCATTTTTTATGATGGTTAATCATCTACTCATGTCACACCTATGTATTAACATATAAGCTTTTCAAATTTTTTACTGCAATACCCTTAAGCGTGGATAATAATATATAAGCTTAATTTCCTCTACAAGCTGCATAAGAATTTTATGTGCACAAATAAATTAATTACAGGTGCAAATGGGTGGAGACTAAGCATAGTGGCATAGATGATAGTTTACTATGCTATAGTTACTTGTCTTCTGAATCATTTGAAAACCTTTCCCTGTTAAATATATATATATATATATATATATCTACCGTTGAAAATTTGTGTTGAACTTATACATAAAAATTCAGAAAGTGCTATAAATTGTGCACTGTAGGCTATAATGCATAACTTGTCAACTATCATATGTTGGTTCGTACCAATACACACTTTTCAAGGTAGTTCCAAATGTATTATTATTTCTTTGCCTTGTAATCAAGACTTTATTCTATGATATTTTAATATAAAATAATTGTGTTTTCATGTCAGATTTGTACGGACACTCTTTCTTATGTTAGTATAATCTTGAGAGAATCGCATTGCAGATCTGAGCAAAAAATTTTACTTCGGATCTAATATATTTTGATATTATACTGTAGATTTAAGTGTTCTTGTTATAATTTTTTAGGCTTGAAAGTATAATTTCACTCTTATATGATTTGAAAACTCAAATAATATATAACACGATATCCATGCTTGTCCAGTTAATCAATAAGTTAAAATATACATCACACAGAGCATGTATAACACAAAATTCATCGATGCACAACATGATGTAGATGAATTCTTAATACAATGTCCGTGTGTATCGATACATGAACATTTAGTTGAGAATACGTGAACATCATGTTGTACATCTATGGACATTGTGTTACATGTTGTTTGTGTCACTTGTACATTTTATTAAACCTATCGATCAATTAGATGTACATTGACATTGTGTTGTGTATTGATGAATATTTTATTGTGTATAATTTGAGTTTTCAAATTACATAAGGATAAAATTATACTTTCGCTCTAAAAAAAATTACAATAAGGGCCTTTGGGCTTATAGTGCAATAACAAAATCTATTAAACTTGCAAAGTAATTTTTTGCTTTTTTTAAGCCTGTAATGCAATTCTCCTTTTAACCTTGCAGTATTTTTTATTCACTTCTTTTTTTGTTTTTCAAGATGTTTTAAAATTCATGGTCAAACCCAACATTTAGTGCAATGGTAGAAAGTCTCAATAAACTTTTTTTATTTTTTAATAGAGCTATTTATTTTATGTATATAATATTCTCGGCTTATTAATTTTGAATCTTATTTTCGCTATCTTATTTTGTCATATAACTTTGAACTATTATCTTAATGTCTAAATCTTGGGTTATTACAACTTTATATTTTTGTTGCCATCAATTTTTCAAACCTAATAGTCTATAAGTAGTTTTGCTTTTTCTTTCAAGAAATTCATAATTTTAAGAGGGCTGCAGTGAGGGTTAGAAGAAGGTAGAACTATACTTTCTCACACTATAAAAGAAGACATGAGTTAAAGATGGCAAGAAGATATATTGCCTTAATGACAAAACTTTGGTGCATATTTTTGGGTTGCACTCGTGAACAATTTCTTTTTTATGATTTTGGTCTAGGCTATTGTGTGAACGTATGTACATACTATTTAAGTTTGGTGTGACTTGTCCTGCCATGGTCAATGAAAAAATTTGTGTAAATCATGTATTTAAATAAAATGTTGAACTAAAATAGTTCTATGACTTTATCTTACATAAGGCTAGACATTGCTTGCTGTCAGCTTATCACCATGGCTTTGCTTAAATAAATGTTTTTTTTTTTTGCCTGTGTTGTTATTCTAGGTGTAAAGCATCGAAAGTTATTGTCATATTTGATTTCATTTTTATCTTACGTGATATATTTTTGTGATTATCATCGCTAATAAATTTACTGTGATTTACAATAAAGCTTGATATTTATCTACTGTTTATTATTTTAATCTTAATCAAATTAGTTTCTTTCTTGATAGTCATCAAATTTGTAAGTTGAATATGACAATAAATAATTTCGTATTTAATTAGTTACAATTTTTTTTAATCCTCTAGAATGGGTATAAACTCTTGCCCATGTATGTTGGATTCATAAAGCTTGGATGAATAGCATGTCTGATTAAATTAAAGAGGTAATTTTGGTGCTTAGAAGGTGAAGGGATGAAATGAGAGTACTCTTAAATATAAAAGTAATACTATAACATTCAATTGAGGTTTTTTTTTTTTTTAAAGGAGTAGCCTAGGCATATTTGCTAATATTGTAACGGCAATCAACGGAGTAGTTTTTCTTTTGGGAAGGAAGTAGCTCAGGTTCATTTGCTTCACAAGTCTTAATTGCATTGGAGTGTGTGCATGGCCATTGCTATGGCCGTGCCCCCTACCAGCTTTTATTGTTTCATGTAGATAAGTTTGGTTTTATTGTTTTTTAAATCTTCCTTTTATATAACTTTTATAAAAACAAATCTTATTCTTAACTTAATATATAAGCTATTAATTACAATGTTCTCATGCATCACATGGGTAAGTAAAATCTTTGTTTGCTTTAATAAACTATTATTTAAGTATATTCTTCAAAAGCATTGCACGGGAAGTAAATATTAAGGAGATAGTAGTAAGTTTTTATTGAAAAGTTTAATAATAAGCATAAAAGATTTTTGTGTAAAGCATTCCTTCAACACAAATATAATCTCCTAATCAACTTATACTTGACATTGTCAGTCCAGTATACTTTTATTTGCAAAGAAAGGTGCAATTGCATTTAAAAGAGAGCATAATGAAAAATATATTCAATTAGTCAAAATATAAGCTTTAAACATGGTGAAAAAAACTAGATTAACCATGTCTTCATTACATCCACAATTTACATTAGTTTTAATAAATGAGTGGCATAATTAGTTCATTACATTTTAAAGTTTTATAGAAATGTGAGAAAAGTAATTACACACATTTAAATAAAGTATGTAATATTTGTATTTAATTAGTTACTGCTCCCCGACGCACAGGTAGTAAAAGCTAGTATATATACTTTCTTTGTTTTTATATATAAAATATTTTTATTTAAATCACGTAAATCAATAAAAATTAATTATTTAATTAATAGCACAGTAATATTTTAATTTTACCTTTAATTATTATAGATAAAAATAAATATTTTTTAAAGTAAATTAATAAGAGTATTTATATATTTTTTAATCTAATAAAGATATAATAATTTATTTTTTAAAAAATATTAATAATCTCTTATATTTTAAAAAAAGAAAATTTTAAAAAAATTTCATGAAGGGATGGCGGGAGCATACAAACAAACCAGCGGTCACGACTATCGCGCGTCTGCACCGCGTGGTTGAAGTCTGCTGTCGGTACTCGAATAAAACGCAGTTGACGTCGTCGTCTAACCGAAGCATAAAAATAAGAGTAATTAATTAATAATAAATCATTGCAAGCTGCGTCCACCGACTAAGTTCTGGTTGAAAATTTTCCAGATTCCATTCACCTCGATTCCAAGGACCAAGGGTATTCTTGATTGCTTGCATTTTTCTGAATTCCGATGGCTAACAACGAAGATAATCACGAGGAGACAAGTCCTCTTCTCCAGCAATGTCAAGAAGCTGGAAAGACTGACAGGAAGCACGACTCATCCAAAACAGGTCCAGCGTCACCAGAGTCTCCGGCATCGGAGCCCGTTATCGGAAATGGGTACGGATGGACTGCCGATGGCCTCCCTTTAGCGCACGGGAGCGTGGTGGGCGAGCCTATGGGTCGGGGCCTTTGGAACTCCAGTATTTGTGCTTGTCTCGGGCGTAACGATGAGTTCTGCAGCAGCGATCTTGAAGTTTGTAAGCTTGTTTCTTAATAATACGCACTTGGATTTAAAGTTTGGGAAATTAAAATTCGATTGTCTCTATTTTTTGCCCTTGTAAATTACAAGCGAGCTCCCATTGGATTTTCATTATTGCTTATAGACACGTTCAACTCCCATGTTCAAACGATGAAACATACGAGGTTAGTTGATTAGAAGAATATTTTGCATAATTGGATCTCATTAGATTTGTTCGTAAAGAATGGCCTGGTTATATTTCTTTTATGTATGGGGAGAATTCTTGCTCGCTAGCGTTTCCACTTTCCGGCTTCCTTTTAACTCGAAAATGCATGCCCATAACGCGTTCTTTCAGGCGAATTTGCTTTTCAATAGACGGTGCAAAGATTCTCTCTTTTGTAATTTATGGGGAATAACTTGCTCAAAATTTGTGTATTGCCAGGGCAATTATCAAATAATTGCTGAAAGCCCAGCTGCGAGCTGTTCGGTTGAATTTAGGTTTCACACTTATCTTGTGTAGTTGTTTGGTTTTAGGGCTTAGGCTGGCTCCCAAGCCACATGGAAAGGTTGAAACATTGATTATTGTGTTCATTTATTAATGTTGCCCTGCTTTTGTGTATTATCAAAGGATATTATAAGCCTTGTGGATATTAAGATTTTTGTTCCTTTGTTTCTTTTTTCCCCCTCTCAAATTCCTAATTTCCCCACTTTTCTAATGCTTGAACTATGATATGAACTAGGTCTTCTTGGAAGTGTAGCTCCTTGTGTGCTGTATGGAAGCAATGTTGAGAGGCTTGGATCTGCGCCTGGGACTTTTGCTAATCATTGCTTGACTTATAGCGGCCTGTACTTTATTGGGAATTCCCTTTTTGGCTGGAATTGTCTAGCTCCATGGTTTTCTTATCCTAGCCGTACTGCTATTCGCCAGAAGTTCAATTTAGAGGCAAGCTATTTTTATGTCTTTTCCTCTGCAGAATATATAGTATTAAATACGTTGTCACTCTCACTTCGATTCAAACTTTGTTAGATTCTTAGCTATCAATGATGGATGTAGTACAAAACATCTGAAGCATTCAAAATGTAAAATTTCATAAATTAAAGCATTACAATATGCGAGAGAAGTATATGCCGTACTCTTTCATGCTCTCTTGGACCTTATCTTTCTAAAAATCAATGTTCAAAGTTGTCCCATGATTAAAATGCTGCATTAACGGTGCTGTCTAATGTTACAGATGAATGATGATTCCACACTCTTCACTTTCTCCAAAAAACTTAATTGTGCCAAATTTCTAGTTGTGAAAGTGAACTTGGGGATTTTGGATATGTTGAATCTCTATCGTATTGTGGCTTGTTGCTTCCTGTATTATGCACTGGACTTGGACAGTTTGCTTTAGTGACAGGTTTATGTGTCACCAAAATGTTAAATTTGGTGAAAATCAATCCAGTCAAAATAAAGCATCCTTTTCATGTATTCATCTACGACTTTGTTGTTTCCTTCACTTCTTGATCGAGAGAACGGTCCTACTTGAAATTTTTTTCGCATAAAGAGGGATCAGATTCTGAAGTTAATACTTTTTTTTTTTTTGGTGGTAATTTAGGTGTAAGATCAACCAGCTAGATTAAGTGAGTAAATTTTCTTTTCTATGTAGATTTGTGTGGAAATCCAGGGGGTTGACGGTTCAGTTAATTTGCTTTTTAAGTTTTGGTCATTTTAACTGAAGGTGTATTAAATATCAAGTTTTTATTGCTTCAAATTTAATAAGCTGTCCCATCCTGATGACTAGGGCAATAAGAGGTATGCACTTTGAATATTTTACAATGAGTTCAATTTATTGAATAAATCCTGGTCTTTACAACCAGGGAAGTTGTGAGGCACTCAATAGATCATGTGGGTGCTGTGGATGCTTTTTGGAAGATGAGATGCAGCGTGAACAGTGTGAATCAGCCTGTGACTTTGCAACTCATGTATTCTGTCATGCATGTGCCCTTTGCCAAGAGGCTCGTGAGCTGCGTCGCAGGCTTCCCCATCCTGGCCTTAATGCCCAACCACCAGTCTTGGTTATGATCCCACCGGCAGAGCAGACCATGGGACGCGAGGCTTGAAAATTACTTTCATCTCGAGAGTGCTGTTTCTATATGTTATTCCTGAGTGTTGACTTAATATAGTTTGTATGTTGTACAACTGTGGTAAACCTCTTGCGTGAAGATTCTTCTCTTGCTGGTTGTCTGGTATAGGCGAAAGCAGGAGATTGATATTTGTCAGTTTGCTATTATTGCTGTTTTGTTATTTATGTTATTTTATAGTATTGTATTTAGACTGCAATAATTTGTGAAGAACTTTCTTCCACTTTCTTTGCGTGATTGTTTGGTTTATCGCACCAAATCATCATCAATATACCAAATAGTGTGTGTGTGAGAGAGAGATAGAGTGAGAGAGAGGGAGGGAGAGAGGAAGGAGGCTGTATTTGTGAATCATGAATATTATATCTCATTTCTAAATTCTTTCTATGCAAGTGCAGGCGGGGTGATTGTTGTGAAGTAGTTTTACAAGGTTGTTGGTACTAAAAAATTAGTAGTAATTCTGCGCAAGGTTCCTCAAATGTTGACGTGAATCCTTTCAGTGTTGTTGCAGCCCAAGTTGAATCTTGCATGACATCGATAAGACTTGATCTGTTAACCTTTTCTTTTCTATTTTCCTTCATGATTAATTAACTAATATTATGATGTAATAATCGAAGAGCCGGAAAATGGCAAATATTACTCTAAGCACCCATGGAGGGTGATGGAGAGTCATTAGACAGCGTACTCCACCAACCACTAGGGAGAGTATTATTGTAGCACATTGGTGATCCCAGTTTAATTGCACTTGCAATTACGAAGAAGCCCTCCACACGCTGCCCCCTGTCTAGAAACAAGAGTGATGCCGACTATGTAGCTCAGCTCAACCTCACGCTTTGCTCAATCTGAAGGCAGCAAGCCAACCGACATACCAGTTACTTTCTCCAAATGTCAGGTCAATCCAGCACATGCAGTTTGCTTTTAGCTTTTCTTTAAATTCTCCTCACTAGTTTGCTATGACCATCTATATCTCCATAGTCCTGATTCTTATAATTTTGTTCTTTATAGAACACGTGCAGATTTGTTCTTGCGAAAACTGAAAGAAACCGATCGACAAAGAATTAGAAGAGCCTCTTTCCTAAAGAATAGAACGCGGGCACGAAAAATGATGACTTAAGCGTGAAACGGCCTGTTCCAACTACTTCCAACTACATTGACAAAGGACTGGTTTATGTGGGTAAGGTCAGCCAAAAGAAAATGCAAATTCACAACTGAGAAAAGGCTAAAGAACGGCCTACTAAAAAAATTAAAATAAAATAAACTTCTTCTGAAGAGTTTCGTTTAACAACACAGAACCTGAAGTGAGTTCTAAGTCCCTATTCTCCAGGAGCGGAAACAGCCTGCTTCAGTCTCTCCCTTTTCATCTTTTTCTTAGAGACTGGCTTCTTTTTTCTGGGAGGGAGGTTCTTCTGTGCATACATGTAAAGTATATAATTTCCAATGAGGAATGTCAATAGCAGCCCACCAACAAGCAGGAGAATTATTAATACTGGGTTGAACCCTTGAGTTTCAGACTTCTTGATCACGTCTCCCTGTGGTGTGTCCAAAGAATAGCATCTCAATACAGATCAGAAAGCAATCAGCAAATGCTCTAGCAAAAGTAGTTATCCCGTTTAAAGATGGGGGGCAAAAACAGACTTGCGATTAGTCACTATCAATTGTCTAAGAGCAATCCTTGTAATAGTGATAACAGGAAAAGTCTCCAAACATTTGAGAAATCATAAGATACGAGAAGATAAAGGCTGTCTTGCACATCTTAATTTGCTAGATGCGGAATTTTTTACATTTTGGCCTTGATCATGATGGATAAGTTCTTCAGATAAACGTTTTTTTGGTCATAAAGTCTGTGAGCAACATTAATCAATAATTTCGTTATATTCAGCCAAGATATGTTAAGGTCAGGTGTTATGACTTATTTTCTCAGTTATACAATAAGGGCAAGCACGAAATTATACGAGCGATGATATAACATACAACAAGAGAAACATCACATTATATTCATCGAACAACTTATTAGCAGCCTTGCAGAAAATTTAGCAGAAATGCTGACTTCCAAGCAAGCTTGACGGTCAAATACAAATTGAGGAGAGGCTATGGTTGCAACTTGAAAGGCTTCAGGCTATTTCTCATAAACATGTTGTAAAGCCGCAGAATTTTGAAGCAACAAGGCCAGTGCAAGGACGCGGTACAATACGACACTAATTCATAAATGAAGTTCATATTCTATTTCACTCCGGTGGAAGAAAAATATCAAAACTGAACCTTCCAGCGCTTGTGTATGTTACCATTTGCAAAGCGATTCCATAGAATTACGTATCCATCAGGCATATAGTTTACACAGTCGTTGAGTTCAACTTCGAAAATTCACCGCAACCAGAAACTTACCTTAAAAGTTAATAGCTTGATAGTGCATATGGTTATTACGAATATTCAGTGATTCCAATTTTTGAAGGGTCAAGCGAATTTTGTGTCCTTTTAGAATATAATGCAATGCATAACAAAAAAGTTGAAGGTACAGCGTTCAACACTTCAAACGAAACAGTTCTTCAAACATTTTAATGAGTCCAGGGATCTGAGCTGCGTATATGATAAACACCTGTCGCTAATGCCTCAAATAAACTAAGTTCCACTAGTGTAGCTAGTGGACAACCTAGGTCGAATTCTCCTAGTGAGTTGGATTTGAATCAAGTTAGAATGGTGTTAAAAATGTGATAAACAGCAATAAAGCGGTTGGTTGAAGAGTTTAAGAAGTCACTAAAATAAAACTATTCTAATGTTTGTGAATTTTCCAAATTTATGAGTGAAATGAGAGTGAATTAGTGTTTGCAATCAAAATGTATAGGATCTTTAGGAATAAGAGTTGAAGCCTATCCTAGCCAAATTAAATTGCCAAGTCACCTCAATGTATTGGTCAAATGAGCCTAAGTAATCACTCAAGCTTGGTCATAAAGCTTTTCAAAAATTCCTAGTATCCTAAGTGATTAATGGTAGTTTTATTTAACCAATTAACACCACCAATGCGCAATAAGTATAATGACATCAAGTATGGCCAATGTATAGCACAAAATTCACTTGGAAAATGAGTTCTAATTGGATAAATCAAGTTCCAAGTATCCCAAAATGATATCAACACAATACTAATGCAATAAAAACCAATATAGTACCAACAATAACAACATAATATGAAGTTCAGGCTATGTCCGAGGGCCAAGCGAAAATTCCAGCAAGCAACCCAATTCTCAACGTACCATTATAAAAAATCAACTAAGCATTTCATTAAACACATAGCCTACACTAGTTCTAAAGTCCAAATTCTAATCAAGAAATAGAAATTGTAACTAGAATCAAGATAGAGATGACTTAGTCCCTTTAGAAGCTTGGCTCAAGTGCTTCTTATCTTCTCCGAAGGATCACAAGTCTCTAGCCACGCATCATCAAAGCCTCAATTCCAATCCCAAACGTACAGGATAGTTTAGCCATGGATGAAAGGAAATGAAGAACTCGATCAGGTGAAATGATTGGATGTGGCCGAAGCTAATTGGAGGTTTTTGTGCGGACTTGGTGAAGAGTGTGTTTTGTCGTTTGAATCTGGAATTTAGGGAAGAATAATAGCAGAACCAAAGAGAAATCAACGGAGGATGATGCGATGGAGAAAACAGAGAAAGTTGACAGACGAAGAGAGACCGAGATTGAGAGGCAGAGATGATGAAAGACTGGGAGAAGCGGTGCGCACGAGAGAATGAATAATGGAGAAGGTGAGATGGAGAGACTGAGAGATCAATGCGTGTGAGAATTGACGAGATGAGCGATTTAAACGAGGAACAAAAGCTATCCCGGAATTAAGTGTCCAGAAATATCTCCTTCAAGTGGATAAATGATCCTAAAATAGATGGAGAGCACATGACATGAGAGAAGAGAAGGCTGTGGAAATGTAATGAATAAATTGGTGAAAAGAAGAATGAAATCTAGACTTGAAATTGGAGTGATCAAGAATTTTGAAGAAAAATCAAACAAAAACCGAGAAAGTGATATTTTGAAAATGGAGATCACATGCTACTTTTTTTTCCTTCCAGATTTAGGAAATTAGTTAAAGTGCAGGAAGTAAAATTGAGTAAAAAATTGGCGCAATTGTGAGGGAATAGATGAGAGTTTAATTGAATTCATAATAGTTTAAGAAAAAAATATTAAAAATAAATAAAGAAAAAAATAAAATAAAAAGAAACGAAAATAAGATAAAGGAATTTTTTCACTTTATCCTCTTACTTCTCTTTTTCAGGTAGCCACCTATACATAAAATGATAAAATTAATAAAAAATAAATTTTAAGAAATTAAAAATAATATTCAATAAAATTTGAAAAAATATGCAATAAATTCAAAAAAATTCTTAACAATATTTCTTTGCCCTTTAATTACAAATATTATCTATTTATTTTAAATTATATTAAAATAAGTGTTAAAAGACTTGTTATCAATAAAGTTAATTCTTAAATATCCAAGGCTTCTGGGAATTAAATTTTTATCTCTCAAACAAAAATATATTAAGAGCGGTTTGTGTTTTTTTCATTTTAATTTTTTTTGAAATACAATTTTAAAAATAAAGAATAGACTAATAATGATGATTATAGACAGTTAATGATAAATAATTAATAATAAAAATTAGTCAAGATAATTATAATTTTTAATAATTAAATGTAGTGTTTTTTAAAAGCAAGAAAAAACAATTTAAAATTGATTCTATTTTTTTGTTTTTAAAAATAAAAAATAAAAATAGTTTTGAAAGCAACTAAATGAAAAATATTTATCTAAACAAATTTTTTTGTTTTTAAAAACGAAAAACAATCAAGTCCTAAGGTGGCGTTTCTTTTCTTTCTTATCTTCTTGAACCGCTTTTTTTTTCTCGAACCACTTGAATGATAGAGTTTTTAAGAATATGTTTACAATTATTTTTATTTTATTATTTTAAAAATTGATATTTTATATAATAGGTTTTGAGATAAAAAATAATAATAAAATATTTTTTTTATTTTTTTATTTTTCAAAACAATAACTTTAGAACTCTTAAAGGATATTTTTATTTTTTTATTTTTCATAATAATATTTTATTTTTTATTTAAAAAAGTACTGTTTTGTGGATCTCTTACCGGAATCGAACGGCGTGTTGTGCAGTGGACAACTTCATTTCTAAAAGAATTTTCAATTTTTTTAATGGCTTATGCACTATAGTTAGTTTTAAAAGTATTATTAAAAAATTTTATATTAAGATTATAATAGTCAACTATATTTATCTTAGTCTTTCAGTCTAATTTTAGTTTGTATGATCCTTCATAATAAATATTGTTTTCCATGTCCTTAGCAATACTTTTCCCGTAATTATATATATTAATTGCATTTGAAATTGAAATTAAAGTTGAAGAAGAAAAAGATAAGCTCATATTTTTACCATATTCCATTTGTTTCAATTTATAAATCATTTTAGGTATGTTTAACCGGTAGCAAATAAAATCTTAAACGGAGGAGGAGGAGGATAAGCTCATTTCTTTTACCATATTCCATGTGTTTCGATTTATAAATCACTTTAGATACTCCCTTCATTTTTACATATAAAAAAAACTGTATTGATTAAATTAAAATGTTCTATGTTAATCAACATAATCATGTATTGATTATTTTTTATTAATATAAATTATGAAGGGTAATTTAAAAAATATGTAATAATGTTTATTAAAATAGGTGATTTTACTTATATGAAAAAATGATAGTTTTTCCTATAAATATAAATGGAGGGAGTATGTTTTACTGGTACTAAGTAAAATTTTAAATTTATTTTAAAATGTAATAAATTTTCATCTTTACCATCTAATAACAACAAAAATAATTATTTTTAATAATTTTTTATAATATTTAATAATGACAGATGAGTAAAAGTGCATATGAAAAATAATAAAGTTTTCTATAAATCGAATCAAAATTAGTCCCAATTTCCTTTCCTTAACAATTATCTTCAACAACACTTTTTAGATGAAGATGACGTCAAAAAATGCGATGATTTGATCTCGTTTAAATGTCATAGTCATTCTATTCCAAATTACTATAATATTATGTTTATATGCATGTAACTTTGAATTTAAGTCAAATTTATTATTTAGATAATTAAAAATATGATAAATTCAAATCCTACCTGAATTCTTTTAAAATTTTAAATCCTTTTTAAATTCATATTATTTCAAATTTCAATAGAAGCTTATCTCTTTTATCAGTTCATTCGTTGACTTTGCTACTTTCTTGACTTCAACATCGCCACCTTTAACAAACATCCATCAAGACCGCAAGTGACAACTAGGATCGAACTACTAACATTGAACTACCGGCGCCAACTAAGATTGAATGGCCAGCTTTGACATGAATTGCATGGACAACACCAATGAAGACTGGACCATTGATTTTGACTAGGATCGAACAATCGAGGCGAAATGAGACCAAACCATTGAAGACAATTGGGACTAGATAACTGGTGCTTACCAGCATCAGATTGTCGGCACCAAACTGGACAAAACCATTGGCAACAAC